GAGTTCGAGGCCAGCCTGGTCTACAGAGTTAGTCCAGGACAGGCTTCAAAGCTACAGAGAAACCGTCTCGAACACCCCCCCCCCTCCCGCGCCAAAAAATAAAAGAATCTACCTGCAAATGTATTTACCAAAAAGAGCTCAGCAATACATAAAATATGAGGTTTACTTCACATGTATTCACAGGTAAAGGATAATCAATGTTGGAAAATCAATCTATGTAATCTACCATATCAACAAATTGAAGAAGAAAAACCACATGATCATATTAATTAATGAAGACAGAACCTTGAATAAAATTCAATATCTATTCATAATTAAAAAAAGAACTCTCAGAAAATTAGAACCAATGAGTAACTTCTTCAAATACATAATGAACATTACAAAGAGCCTACAGCCTATGGTCTTCTTCCTAGTAAAAGTTGACTATTTACCTCATGGCTGAGAGCAAGGCACATCTGACTCATATTGTTCTCTTCAACATCTCTGCAGCATGTCTGATGCTGTAGCCAGTGCAATAAGGCAAGAAAAGTGTAATAAAGGCAGGAGAAACAAAAGGCAAGCAGGTTGAAACAAAGAAGTAAAATTGTCTCTGCATGCAGATGCTAGGATTGTCTAGGTAGAAAAACCTAAGGCAGTGGTTCTCAACCTGTGGTTCATGACCCCTTTGGGCAGTCGACAACCCTTTTACATGGGTTGTATAATCAGATATCCTGCAATCAGTTTTTGCATTACTATTTATAACAGTAGCAAAATTACAGTTATGAAGTAGCAATGAAAATAACATTATGGTTGTGGGGAAGGGGGGTCACCACAACATGAAGAACTGTATTAAATGGTCACAGTGTTAAGAAGGTTGAGAACCACTGCCCTTAGAAATCTACATTTCAATTCTTAGAACTAACAAATTCAGTAAAAGTCAGATGACTTAAGATAAATGTAACAATCCACTTTATGTCTACATACCAACAGTTATCACATGGGACCCTCATTTACATATTAAAAAACAACAAAACCTGTTTATAAATCTAAAAAAAATTAACTAATATTTTACATTTAATGAAAAATGTACAAGATATGCTAACAGCTAAAAAACATGAATTAACAATGCAAAGATTTTTTTTTATTTCTTAAAATCTTTATGTATATGTGCATGCTCGTGTGTGTGTGTGTGTGTGTGTGTGTGTGTGTGTGTGTGTGTGTACATGTATAGGTGTGAAAGTGGAGGTCAGAGGTTAACCTCTTTGTCTTTCCTAAGTCCTTGTCCACCTTGTTTATTAAGACATGGTCTAGAATGAGACTGAGCTGGCCAGCCAGTGAGCTTCCCTATGCTTGGATGACGACTGCCCACCATCATGCCTACTTTTCCTTGTTGCTTGTGTTGTTGTTTTTACGTGGATTTTGCAGATCGAACTTGAGTCTTTGTGATTGCATGGCAGGCATTTATTGATCAAGCTGTCTCCCCGTGCCCAAAGCAAAGATTTAAGTAAGATAAAGGAAGGTATGTAAGGATTAGGAAACTTGGTAGAGCCAAAGTGGCAATTATTCTTTGTGCTATAGTCTTGTTATAGTTTAAAAGTGAAATGCTTTCTACCGTCTCATATATTTGAACAGTTTGTACTCATTTAGTGCCACTCTCTTGAGGGATAGTATGATCTTTTGAACATGAAACTCAGCTGACATAGGTATGAAGGGCCATAGGGTTGGGCTGATGGATATATTTATCTTGATTCTAAGTCAAATCTCTCTATGATTTCTTGTCCTCCAGCTGAGAGCAGACCATGGAGCATCTCACAGTCATGCCTTCCTCAGGATTATGATGAAAGTATTCCTTGTATTCCTTCAAGCACAGAGACAGGCGTGCCAATGCTGAGCTTCTCTCTTTGTATTCACTCCAGGAGTCCAGCCCATGGGAGGTACCATACACATTAGGTCTTGCCACTGCAATCAACAAAGTCTAAGGAATCCTTCACAGATATTTCCAGAGGGTTGCTCCCATGCTGATTCCAAATCACATCGTGTTGACAACCAAGGCTGTCAGAACAGCTGTGTAGCACCTTCCACATTGAAATATTCTTCCAGGAGTGAGGAAGTGGGGGTGGGTGGGGGTGGGGGTGGGGGTCATGAGACTTGGCAAATAAACAACTCACAGTTCTCAGGAACATCCTGAAACTAATAAGATTCACAAGGCCCCTCCCCAAGGTTATAGAAGCAGCAAATAACTGCTGGAGGCAGGAGACTCTTTGACAGGCCAAATTGTCCCTAGGAGATTTTCTGACCTTGTGAATTGCATGCAAGTTTCACAGGGTTGCAGTCTCTGTGACTCATCACTCAGGCTAGGGTGGATTTTAACTAAAGAGATTGTGTGAATAATAATTTCAACATCACTATTAGAGAAATACCAATTAAAACCACAGTGAAATAGTACCATACATTTATCAGGATATTTAAACTATGAAACTGTGATATCAAGAAATGTTGGCCAGGGTATAGAACCACTGATTCACTGGTGTTGTTGATGGGAATACATATGGTAAACTTTTGGGAACAACTGGACAATGTCTTAGTTCCCATCTTAGTTACTTTTCTATTTCTGTGACAAAACTTCATTTTCAAGGCAACTGAAAAAGAAAGCATTTAATTGAGCTTAAGATTTCAGAGAGTTAGAGTCCTTGGTGACAGAGTCAAGATATGGAGACAGAAAGAACTGAGAGCTCACATCTTAGGTCACAAAGTAGCAGACAGGGAGAGCGCATTGGGAATTGTGGAAACCTTTCAAATCCTCCCAGCTTGCCCCCCAGTGATACCCCTTCTACCAAGGCCACCCCACCTAAATCTCTCCAAAGAGCCACCAACTGGAGACGAAATAGTCACATGCCTGAGACTTATGGGGGTTATCTCATTCAAACCACCACAGTTCCTTTTCTCGGTGACAAAGGCAGATTA